CTACTGATCACTACTGGAAATATTTTACTGCTTCCAGTGATTTTTTTTTTTTAAGGATATAATGTAAAAGCTGAAAATGGCCTTCCTGATAATATGAAAATATGTAGCAAGAGCAATTCAATCTTTGTGCCAAAAGAAATTTCCTTTTGCAAAGCTTTCAGGTCCATGGGCACATGCTGTATAACTTATTTTTTACAATACATTTTGTAATGTGATTTTTTTCCTAAAGTGTTTCCTTTTTCATAGTCTCTGGCACATATATCTGCAGAATGCACTGTGAGTTATTCAGAGTGTCAGTATTGTTGTATTCAAAATGGTAACCTATAATTATTTTCTCTTTATCAATTTAATAATTCTGAAAAAAAGAAAGTACAACTATATTTTTTGAGGTAAATTCAAGAGTTAAAGCTTAGAAGCAGTAGATCCTGGAAGAGGTTTTACTATTCCTTGTACAATGCTATGGTTCTGATCATGGTTCAATACTAACACATAATGCTCTGACTAAAAAGCTTAATTTTAAGTACTCAAAATCAGTTTCTAAAGTTGTTCATTCTGGTGTTCTGGGCCAATAACCTTGGATGAATTGATTTTTATATAGAACAAATTCATAAAAGGAGATGCACCAGTTTAACCAGTAAGGGTAATAAGAACAGCTTTGACTGACAGTTCAATTACATTCTGATTCCATTATTTACTTATATGTATAAGACTTACAATAAGGACTGTGATATAAAGATAGTTCTTACAATCTACTCCAATCAAAACTTGGAAAATAAAATGTCAGCATCTTTTTAAAAAAAGAAGACTGGGCATGGTGGATCATTCCTGTAATCCCAGCACTTTGGGAGGCCAAGGCAGGAGGATAGCTTAAGCCCAGGAGTTCAAGACCAGTTTGGGCAACACAGTGAGACTTAAAGTAAAAAAAAAAAATAGCTGGGTGTGGTTGTACATGCCTGTAGTTCTAGCTAGGTGGGAGGATCACTTGAGCCCAGGAGATGCAGGCTGCAGTGAGCCATGATTGTGTGTTACTGCACTCCAGCCTGGGTGACAGAGTGAGTCCCTGTCTCAAAACAAAGACAAAACCATTAAAAAAAAAAAACCCAAAAACCCAGAAAGTGAAAGTAGTACAAGAAATCTCAGGATAGACAACTTTTTTCCCCTTGATTTTGACAGATTTTCATAACTACAGGTAGGTTAGAGAATATATTCTTTGAAGATAAAAAGCACAACATGCATTATTCAAATCTCAACATCAAAGCTACTGTTGAATTTAGATTTATGTGAAAATGTGCATCTAAAGTCTACTTGAAACCCTGGCAATATACTTTTTTAAAAAAGACTTAATATGGACATGTTTTCAATAAGGTCTAAAGATAACTTTAAAGATAAAGTAAGAGTTGACAATTTCTGAATGTGGAAATCATTTATAATGTAACGTTACTGAAATTAAACAGAATGCTTCTGAATGTCACAGGGATAACTAAAAGCCACACAAGGAGGACTGCTGGCCATTTCTCTAGTCCACAGGTTGTGCTCAAATTTAGAAGCCCACAGATGGGTATCCAAACTGAGACTCTGGAATGGAAAAATTAATGCTGGATTTCCTCCCCTATGTAACCTCGGAAGGATTTAAGGTACACCTTGGGGAATTGGCAAATCATTTCAACATGTATTATAATTTATATAACATGTTAAAATTATTTTTAATTTTTTAAAGTAAAAGAAATGTTACAGTAGGCTTGCCTTAGCTTGAATGATTGTGAAAACATCACACAGCCTTCCAGAATTTTGGTTACAAAGAAAACTAGAGTGTATACGTGTGAAAATTTTTAGCATTGTTACTGGGTTTCGTTTTCTGAAAACGTTGACTGTAATGACATTTTCAGTTAGAAAAGTGTTTTAGTTAGTACTGTTATATTTTTTGACTCCTAGTTAAGTTTCCTATTTGCCAATGTTTGTACCTCTGAAGGCAAAATTATTCTGATATATTAGATTAGTATTTGAAGCAAATAACCTTCTCAACTTGTGGGAATTTTATTATACTAATAGTGAAAATGTTAGAGGATAAGATTTTAAATACTTCTTGATTTAAATTAAAATACTATAAGAAATATATGTATATTTGGATTTGAAGGGTTTTTCCCCCTTGATTTATAAAGAATTTGGAACTTACAAGAACAATGAGGACGATGGTGCATCAGAGTCATTTAGATAGATGCTGAGCTTTGTCTATCCATGCTATGACTAAGTTCTCTGTTTAAACCCAAATGCAATCTGAGCGACATATGAATAAAATTAATTTTGAAGAGAATATGTAAAATTAACAAAAAACCCCAGAAAACACTGATCATCTCCTTATCTAATAAATATGGAAATGAGGTCATTAGTAGTCACATCTCAGCATGTATAGACAATTGAAAAAACTGCCCTCACATGCGATCCTGGCACTATCCTAGGCTCCTATAATTTCTCTACCTTTTATTGTAAATAAATCTCCAATCATCAATCTAAATGGGAATCATTTTAATGAAATAATTGTAACTGTTTTCTGAAATATCATCATAATCAGTGTTTACAGTTCAAGGTACAATTGAACTAATCCATAATTTTATCCTTTTCTTTTTGACGAGAGTGCTTCATGAGGGTATCTTTGGTAGAGATCTTTTTTCAAGTATTTTATAAAATATTCAAGTTTGTTGAAGATATTAGATAAATACACCAGCTGTCAGATACCTGTAATTTTCACGAAATGTGAAGAATTCATTGTATCTTAGGATGACCATAAGAAAATTCATGGTGTGGGAATCTCCAGTTTAAGCATTAGTAGGGATACTAACACGACTGAAGTAATACACAGCTACTAAAAATCAGTGGCATAACAAGAATAAGTGGTACATCAAATAATGTAAAGTTTTGCCTTTTATCCTGTAATAATGAGAAACTGTATTCTGTAGCTGTTGTATGACACACATTCTGTCAATATCTGCTAGGTCCATTTGGTCTATAGGGCAGATTAAGCTGATGTTTCCTGGAAATGAATTTAAAAAAAATAACAAAAGTAGGGTGTTCATGAATTTCATGCACAGCAAATCTAAAAATAGCAAACGTGCAAAATGGAAATTAAAAAAACACAACTGGCACCTGAGGCGTATTTCCTTTTCTTTATCCTCAGTGCTATGCCTCTGCTAAAAATATAAATCACAAAGCAAAGGAAAAAAAAGAAAAAATTGCTGTAATACAGTAAAAATCACTACAATAAAAATTTATAAAAATTGAGAGAGTTTTTTGGAATTGACTTCAGCCTAGTGATCAACATTTTTTTCTTAAATTTTCAGCATTTATTCCATAATAATGTGATAATAACTGTGTGTATTACTTAGAGAAAATGCTGTAGATCCATACATTTGAACAGAAATGTTTATAGATGCCATAACATGATACATTTACTTCCTGGTGTTGTTTTTTGTTTAAATTATTTAGGAAAATTTTACCTTACGATCACAGATTTTGTTATTTTAATAATGTAGAACTATATTTAATCTACATTTTGTTTTAAAATTATCAAGTGTTATCTTCTACAAATAAGAGGCTTACAATGTGGCCAGATATTCTTAGAATTATTTCAGGTCTAAGGATTTTCAAAAGCAAAAGTACACTGAAAACTTTTTGAAATACATTCTATTTTTGCATAATTTAAAATTTTGTGTCCTTTAAGTTTTATTAAGTACATGAGAACTGTATTATTTTTCATTGAATCCAAGTGAATTTATGGATATGTATTTATCTTTTATATGAATGTAATATCTTGCTTTCAGTTCCTCACTGGTCATTGAAATTATTTAACCAATGAAAACATTCTCTGTGTTACTTCCAAAATCAACTATGTTTATCAAAATCTCACCAGTGTGAGAAAAGTAACAAGTATAATATTAAAGCATTGTGCAATATCTTCTGAGTTGGAACATAATATTGAGAAAATTAAAATAATTTAAAATGAGTATGCAACTTTCTTTTTATTTAAAATCATTTGCTTTAAAATAGTTGTCATCTCTGCATTTTATATTTTCTCAAAAATATGGTGTCTTTCACTATGGATAAGCAGATGTGGTACAGCAGGGCTGCCAGGATGAGAAATGCTCTTCCTCTGGATTACACTATAGTTTGATTCTTTAGCAAGATGAAAACTTTAAGACACCAATAAGACAAGAAATAGAAACTGGTTAAGGGTTTTCCCTTCCTTCTTTATTCTCACAAACTGCTTTGTCAATCAACATTCAGATGTTACTCCACAGCTGCTGCTGTCAATCTAAAGGTAGATCACTCAGTAGAGCAAAGGCTTCTGATGCTTTACTAGCAGTCCACAGCCCAGTATCTACAGAGGTAGTTGGATCATGGTTTTTGCAAAGTGGAATGTGGGTGACGATGGGGTTGTGTCTGACCTTTATTTTTATCACCCTGTGCCAGAAATAGGGATCTATAGCTATATCCAGTCCTAACTTATCTCTGCCTTATTTGAAACAAAGGAATGCATTTCTCTATTAAATGATAAAAAATGTATTAATTTATGCTAGGAAGTAGCCTTTTTCTACCCTTCCTTCAACTGCTCTGTCTCCTTTTCCCTGATATTCAAGGATCTTTTTCATGATCACAGCCACATTCTTTGTTTGGCTTTTCTGGTTTTCAGTGCACAGTTCTTTCTTCTCCTTGATAGCAAGGCATGTTTAGTCAAAATAGACGGGTGTTTTGTAGGCACCTAATTATTGACTCCTAACCCCAGAGGATTGCTCCTTTAGGAGCAGTAACTATGTGAGGGTATTCTGTACCAAATCTTCCTCACCAAATTATTCTGGTTGCTGATGCTTTCCTTGCAGAAATTTTTGTGCCTACAGAAGGTTTCAGAGGCATATCATCTGGATTAAATAAGAAAAGACCCTTGGTAATCACTGATTCTAAGGGAAGGCATGTCTTTGAAAAGACAAGAGTTTCACCAGGCCTCAAGATAGTTTATACCGTTTTATTGAGAGAAATGTGCTCATTTTTGCTTTACAAAGAGGCATGTATTGGTGCCCACATAGAGCACTGACACAAGCAGGCAGTGGGACAACAAACTGATTATCTCCCAGAAATGGAGGGCACCAGAGATGTCTGTTTCCGTGGTCACCACAATCTGCTGAAATCCTGCTTGAGAAAAAGAACATAATCACCCAAAGCACACAGTCCTGCTTCGCATTTATAGTATATGTAATATTAGCATAAGACTCTCCTTTCTCTATTCTCCTACGTGGAGAACCACAATGTAATTCTGACCTTATTTCCAATTTCCTCTCAGTTTAGTTTTTGACATCATAAGGGGGATGAGATATGGTAACTCATCAGAGCTCCTATAACCCTTTAAACACATATCTTGTGTGGCACTGACTTCATTATATATTTCAGTTGTCAGCAAGGTGTCTCTCCCACTAAAATGTGAGTTCATTGAGAGTAGATCAGGTCAGTTCAACAAGATTTATCGAGTACCTTTTATGTCCTAGGCACTTTGCCAAGGTTTAGAAATTTAGAAATGAATAAAAACAGTCTCTGATCTTGAGGAAGTCATTTATATCTAGTAACCAAGATGTAAACAGATTATTTTTCAATACTACACAGTAAGTGCAAGGACAGACATTTATACATTATCTTGAGCTCTGAAAGCAGCTCTTAACTCCACCTAAGGGGTCAAAGAAGTATCCCTCAAATTGGCTAATGACCTGAATCTTGAAAAATGAGTGGGGATTAGCTGGCAAAGCAGTTTCAGTGCAGGTGGGGTGTGAAGTCAGGGAGCAGTGGGTTACTGAGTGATCAGGTTAAGGAAGCAGATTTCTTCTCCCAGAAGATTCAGTAACAATAAAAATGATGTTGTGAAACAGTTTTCACTGAACCTACCTTGTGCCTCATGGAGTGCTGGTCAGAGGGAAGCCCTTGGTCTTCGCCTTTGATGTCATAAATATTTAGTGCTATTGACTAAAAATGTGTTTGATTTCTGAGGCTCAACGAAAGTCAACTTTCACATTTAAGTCCATTTTGTGAAGATCCTTCATGAATATGTTGGAGTTATTTTAACAACTCAAGTGACTCGTGTTTAAAAAAAAATTCATAATGAAATGACCTCCCTCTCGCTCTGGCTTTCTAAAACTTGAAAAATAGAAAAGAATAAATTTAAAACAAGTCTAAAAATAGTCCAAACATATAATTTATAAAGAATTAACATTTTTAGGCCAGGTGTGGTGGCTCATGCCTGTAATTCCAGTACTTTGAGAGGCTGAGGTAGGCAGATCACCTGAGGTTAAGGATTCGAGACCAACCTAGCCAATATAGCGAAAACCCGTCTCTACTAAAAATATAAAAATTAGCCAGGCATGGTGGTGGGCACTTGTAATCCCAGCTATTTGGGAGGCTAAGACAGAATTGATTGAACCTGGGAGGTGGAGGTTACAGTGAGTTGAGATTGTGCCACTGCACTCTAGCCTGGGTGACAGAGCAAGATTCCGTCTCAAAAATAATAATAATAATAATAATAATGTTTTTAAAGTATCTACTTGAGGATTCTCTTGGAGTAGGCTAAGCCTCATTCTTCCTCTGTTCCCCTTTTTAAAGAAATTAACTGTTATACATGTAACAGATGTCAGCTGGCTGTTAACCTAGAGATGGCAACATCATATTTGAAGAAAAGACCTTATCTACAGTTGATGGCACCTAATGAAAAAAAAGATGCCATGGAGACGTAATCAACTGAGAGATTCTATGCAGTGGCAGTCATGAAGTCTGAAGTCTTGTGAGAATTATACTCTTAAATTTCAAATATGGAATTGGCCAGACATGCCTATAATCCCAGCACTTTGGGAAGCCAAGGCTTGGGGAGTGTCTGAACTCAGGAGTTTGAGACCAGCTTGGGCAACGTGGAAAACCCCCTCTCTACCAAAAATACACAAAATTAGTTGGCTGTGGTGGCATGCACCTGTGGTCCCAGCTACTTGGGAAGCTGAGGTGGTAAAATCGCTTGAGCCTGGGAGGCGGAGGTTGCAGTGAGCCGCTGCCCTCCCACCTGGGTGACAGAGTGAGACCCCCGTCTCAAAAAAACTAAAAACAAAAATCAAAAAGTGAGGAATTATGAGAAATGAAGCCTTATTTCCATCCAAAACTAAGTTATTAGGCTGTCTCCTAAAGAATTTTGGTGTCACTGCTCTTGCCTCTAATGACACTAATCATTAAAATATCTTGTTTGACTGGTATTTCTGATTACTGTGGCTATTCAAGAACTTGCAAAATTTTCCATCACAACACCAATGAGCTCAGGCTAATCAGTCAATCTCTCAGTGTGAGAACAAAGGGATTTTCTTAAATATCTAACTGAAAATGTTCAATAATTACACTATAAAAATCAGGAAACGGTCAATTTTAAAAAGTAAATTTTAAAAGCTAGTTTGAATCAATAGCTGATGCAATAAATACAGGAAATGAAGTTTATTATATAATTTCAACATCACTCTTTCTCCTAAAAGTCCTCTGGGATAATTAAAAATGAACATTTTGTAGTTCCACCAAGGTGCCATGGGCAACTGAAAAGGAAAAGAGATTTTTTTATGTTCCTGCAAAAATATGACCCAGCCACTGAAAATAATTCAAACAGTTTCCAGTCATTAAGAACTCATGATGGCAAAAATTATGGCACATTTCTCAGCCCTCTTCAACTTTTTAAAATATCCTTGTTACAGATGTGGATGAAATGGTTTGAATATGGTTAGAAGCTAGAGAGCTACAGCAGCACGAAACATAAAAGGAAGCCGAAAAGCAAATTGGTGTGGCAAATATACTTTGGTTAGGCAGTGAAAAGACCAGTTGCAGTTTCCTCTTCCTCCTTCCTGGAGATACCCGATAGTTATTCTTCTGTATTTTTTTCTTTGATGTTTCCAGTTACCGAGTTCAGTGGTACAACAGAGCAACTGAACTAAAAAAATTAAAATGTATAAAACTTCCCATCCAAACGCTAAATACATACACCTTTTCAGATTGTTGGGCTTGCATCTGTTCTTTTGTTTTTGGTTCACTTTCATATTGAGGCTCGTGCACTGACTGCATACTTAGAATGTCAATCTGATAGTCAGCATTAATAAATGTCATTTATCACATAATTCCCACTTTACCAAGAATCAGCATGTGAACAATCATTTGAGCAATACAAATGTTACCTAAATGTATCAACATACATACACATAAACATACACCAGTCTCTGCTAGCAATCACGGTTTGAAAATGCGGAGATGCCGGGCGCGGTGGCTCAAGTCTGTAATCCCAGCACTTTGGGAGGCCGAGGCGGGTGGGTCACGAGAGATCGAGACCATCCTGGTCAACATGGTGAAACCCCGTCTCTACTAAAAATACAAAAAATTAGCTGGGCACGGTGGCGCGTGCCTGTAATCCCAGCTACTCAGGAGGCTGAGGCAGGAGAATTGCCTGAACCCAGGAGGCGGAGGTTGCGGTGAGCCGAGATTGCGCCATTGCACTCCAGCCTGGGTAACAAGAGCCAAACTCCGTCTCAAAAAAAAAAAAAAAAAAAAAAAAAAAAGAAAATGCGGAGATGGCAATCCATTGTGAGAACTATTCTCTTTTGTTGCCCTAGAAATGCTGAACAAAGCTTTCTTTTGAAAATTCCTACTTCAGCAGATTAAATAAAAAACGACCGAGTAAGGACTATCATAAAACAATGTGACCAAGAAAATCACAAAATTGGGAGTCCCCTGAGATAATAATGTGGAAGTGAAAAATGTTTCAGCTGGGTAAAGATGAATATTGTGGTGGCAGAAAACAGTAGTGGAAAATCAAATAGAGGGCTATCAAGGGATCCGGAAAAGCAGTTTCATCCATTTGGACCTCATCTGAAAATGTAAGTTTTAGAGAAGAATCCCAGGCGGTTTCAGTTCTGTAAATGTTTCCGTCAAAATGGAATTTCTAATAAAAAAGAGACAAGGGATTAACTCATTTTTCCTATGAACAAACAAAACGAAAGAAAAAGGAAGCGGACAGATACATCACAATCACTCAGATCACCAGAACAAAAACAAAAAAATGAAGGTAAAATAATTGACCATTTATAAAGAATGCTGAATAGAAAATCAGTTAAAGAATGACCAAATTTAGTGGGCATGATGATAGAGGCAAAAATGGGGAGGAAAAACCTGCCTTGTATGTACTTTTGCAATAAGCCCATACCGTGGCATACACTTTTACTAACAGAACTTAGAAAAATAACAGGACTCCATGCCTTCTCCATTAACTGTGATAGACTGTTTTCTATTTGAGCCTGGGGTTGAAGGTAAACTTAACAGAAAAAACAAAATAAAAACTTAAGTATGTTAGTAGAAGAATCTGAGCATGAATGTCATGTAAGAGCAAACCCAAGCAAGTCAGTTATTAGAAGGCAGCAAGTATTATATGCCTCTAAACTCTGCCTAGTAAATATATGATTGGCTCACATTCTTGCGACTTGTGGTCATTTTGAAAAAAAATTTAACTGTAAATTTTTTTTTTCTTTTTTTTGAGATGGAGTTTCGCTCTTGTTGCTCAGGTTGGAGTACAATGGTGGATGTCAGCTCACTGCAACCTCCGCCTCCTGGGTTCAAGCGATTCTCCTGCTTCAGCCTCCTAAGTAACTGAGATTACAGGCACGGCCACCATGCCCGGCTAATTTTGTATTTTTAGTAAAGACGGGGTTTACCATGTTGGCCAGGCAGGTCTCGAACTTCTGACCTTTGGTGATCTACCTCGCTTCGGCCTACCAAAGTGCTGGTATACAGGTATGAGCCACGGAGCCCGGCTTAAATGTAAATTATGAGGACCAAGCACTCTTTAGTTTCTCTTTCCTCAGTTTACCTTCTTTAAGGCATTATTGCAGACTAAGCCTTAAAAAAAAAAAAACTTTAGTTATTTGTTTTCAAATGATGTGACTTACTCTCTGGTCTGGATTTCAAAGATGTGAGTATAATGCGGATTGTATAAAATTATTTAAATTTTACAAATAACATACGCCTATTATAGAAATTCTGGAAAATACAGAAAAGTGCAAAGAACAGAAAAAAAAAAAAAATCCTCCACCCGGTCAATTGAAGTCACCATTATTCACTTTTTAGTTGGGCCCTATATTATACTTCTACGGTTGCTACACTACTCTAGTATCCTGACTTTGTCACCTTTTATGTCATGAGCATTTCCTTGGGTCATTAAATACTAGGCACTTTTAAAGTGTTTACGAAGTATCTCATTTTGCAGTAATGCTATATGTTCGGGTTTTTATAACAGCAAAAGAAAAAGCTACAGCGTATTACAAAACACTTTATCAATGCGCAAAAGAAAAGAAAAGGAAAAGTAAGGTGAAAATCATCAATGGAGAAACATGAGAATCGCTTAATTAGCGGCAAGATAATAGAGCTAAGGTCACATTATTGCTTCTTGACTTTAGGACAAAAGGGGTACACGTCACTCACCTCTGTTACAAGTTTCTATTTGCACCGTGAATGGCGATTTATTTAATTAGATAAAGTCGCGGTTTTACAACCTAAGCAAATACTGCTAGGTTGCTAGTCCTCCGCCGACTCAATCCCTCTTGAGGCGGCCTTGTAAATGCTCCGACTCCTTCAAAGAAAGCCTCGAGGTATAAAGAAAAAGCTGTCCAGCAATCCAGACCTACTGTAGCCACGATACCCATAGTAACAGACAGGTGTTTGCGAACAAAAGCCACGGATAAGAGCGAAGTTGCGCCTACAGCGCAGGCGCGGATTCTCCGTCGTTCCAGGGCCACGCATGCGCCAACGTAGCTTCACGCCCCAGTGATGGAGCCCCATTCTTTGGCGTCACAGGACAGATGATCAGGGTACGTCCGCCTTTTCCTTCCCCCATCTATCCACCTCCCCTTGTCCCTCCATCTTCTCCCTCCTTCCTCTCTCCCTCCCACTGGCGTCTCCAGCTGACTTTCGCTTCCTATCAGCGGCCTTCGGCGGAAGAGTGTCCCACCTCTTCCGCTCCACGGCGGCGGCGACTGAGGTGGTGGCGCTGGCGGCGGCGACGGCGGCGGCGCTCGAGCGGCTCCTGTCAGGGTCAGCAGGCGGACCCCTTTGGTGGTCCACCTGCGCGTCGCGGAGCGGCGCCCCGGGGACCGATGGCGATGAACTATAACGCGAAGGATGAAGTGGACGGTGGGCCCCCTTGTGCTCCGGGGGGCACCGCGAAGACCCGGAGACCGGATAACACGGCCTTCAAACAGCAACGGCTGCCTGCTTGGCAGCCCATCCTCACGGCTGGCACGGTGCTACCTATTTTCTTCATCATCGGCCTCATCTTCATCCCCATTGGCATTGGAATCTTCGTCACCTCCAACAATATCCGCGAGATCGAGGTGAGGGGAGGGAGCTGTGTTGGGAGTTGGCGTTGCTCGGAAGGAGGGTCCTACGCGCCCGCCCCGCTCTTCTCAGCTCCTGAAGGGTGACAAGCGGTCCCCGCGCCGCCCTCCACCCCCCGCCCCCTTCCTCTGGTTTCTTCCTCTTTCTACGGGTTTCCTGAATTTGCAGGTTTGTCCTAGCTTTGTCTTGCTTGCGATTTACGCTGAGACGCAATGAATGTTTAATGCAGAAGATGGGTCAGGTGAAGAAATGCTTCTTCAGTGGGCGGTTTGTGTAGTTCCTTGGGGGGTTAGGGGGTTGTTCATGGAGGTAAAAAGAGAAGTGGGAGTGGATGCAGTTGTAGCTAGGTAGATGTAACTCTGAGGGAATTGACAGGGTCAAAGTGTCATTACCTTTGTGGGGATGATCCCAAGACAGAGCTTAACACCTTGGCCATTGTTGGGAAAAGAACCAGAGTCATAGAGGTGTTGACGACTCCAATGTAAAGAAGCTGTCGCATGTTATTAGGTCACATATGAAAACTTATGACAAATGCTCATAGTACTTTTCGTTTTGAACTAATTCGATATGTTAGTTGTGGGGCAAGATATACATAAAAGATAACCTGAAATTTCAATTTCGGTTTTGCTTTTAGGTTACATTTATTAATGTGCCCTACATGTGCTATAGTTGTTTTGTTTTGCTTTGGTAGATTTTAAACTTTACAAAAAGAGCCAGTGACCACACTCAGGGAATACGTTGTGCACTGCCTACTAAACATTTTACTGATATTAACTTGCTGAGTATGTAAGACAGGACAGGACAACTTGTATTGGGTAAACATTTCGCTGTCAGAGAAGCACAGTATCTTTATTCATCTGCAGGGGTGAAGATGGTTGACAGTGCACTGTATTAATATATACTGTATAGGTGTCCAGTATTAAGCATCTCTCATCTTTTCTTGCTTATCTGAGAATTTTTTTTTCTAAATCTGTTTGAAAGGGCAGGAACTAGTGCCAAGTTCTCTTGATTCCTTCTGTTTTATATATATATTATACACACACACACACACACACACACATTTTAATAAATATTACTTATGTATGTGATTTAATGGGAGTTTGAGAGTAATTTTATTTTTAACTACTATAATAGTGATGGGGTTCCAGTTTAATTTGCAGTGTTATCTGTAAAAGCAAGATTGATGTATTTTTTAATTCTACAGTGCCTACTTACTTAGGCGTTAATAAGTGATAACATTATTAAGAATACTATCTATAGCATAACTAGTTTTAAAGTTTTTTTTACTAAAAATTCATTCTCAATTTAATAACTAAAAGTGTTTCAGTGTGTTTTTTTAGCATGTATTTTAGTTTATCACTTTAATCTCCCTAATAATCCTGCAAATGTAGTACTTATTGTTCTAACCACATAAGGATCACACATTACGTTAGGATATGAGCAAAGTGGTGTCATGTGAGGAACATGGGCATTGGCTGGGGTCAGACAGAGCTGGTTTTAAATTCAAGCTCTGCTACTAACCAGCTCAGTTTCTTGGAAAATTTCCTTAAACTCTCTGAGCTTCAGTTTCCTGCACAAAAGGTAGAATAATTCATGACTTCTAAGGTGTGAGAATTAGAAGCAATGTAAATAAGATGTCTGGCACTAAGGATCTGTCTCCTGATCCTTAATCAAAAGATGAGAAATATAGAGAGGTTAAGATTTGACAGTAAACTAGTTAAGAGTAAGATGTCTTGATTCCCAGTTTTAAGCTTTCACCCTACACTAAGATCCTTACTGCGATGTTAGTAAAGTGGAAGAAAATAATTTAACGTCAGAAATTTGAATGATTTTATTTAAACTTCTTAACATATTAAGATGAAAATAGCAGTAATTTGGAATTGTATATAAATTAGTATTCTCAGAACTCAACTTCCATTAATATTTAATACAGTATAAAAGTAAATATTTAACTTTCCTTAAAATTTTACTCAGTTTTGGAATAAAGTAAGATTCTTCACATTAAGTAGATGAAATAGAAATTTTTTAAATAGATCTCATGTGTTCTGATCTCAAGTTGCCTCAAGAGTCTGCTGTAGTTTAGTCTGGTTAAAAGGGCACCGAAGAGTCAAGGAATTCAGATTGAAATCCCAGCTCTGTCATTCTGTAGTTTGTGATCTTAAGTATAATTTTGAGTCCAATTTCTTTACTTGAAGAACCAAAAGATTCAAATTAGACTATCTCTAAGAGGCTGTTCAACTCTAAAATTCTTTGACTTCCAATTCAAATGTGATTTAAAAAAAATGGCATGTTTAAATTTTATTGCCTTTGGAACAAGAGGAAATGAAAATGAAGAATAATTGGGATTTTTTACTGACACTGACATATAGCTGTGCAGATAGAATCCACATAGGTATTTTTAAAATTTGGATGCTAAATATATAGAGAAATGCCTCTGAATTGTGTGTGGAGTTATTAGAAAAACTTATGGAGATTCCCCAAGTGCACATACGGGTTTTCTGCTTGTTCTCTACCCTTTGTTAGCTGCTAGTGGTAAATGGGTAATGAGAATTTCTTACCAACATTCACTTTCATACTGTAAGTTACTCACACTGTATTTTTTATTAAAACCCCTTCATTGCTATATCAGTTCAAATTACTAGGGCAAAGGAGATTGTCAAATCCAAATGCTTTTGTAATATAGCTTAAGGTGCCAAGATCAGAAATCCATAGTTTTTCAAGTGTAAAATCACTGGATCTTTCTCATTCCCACGGAAGTGTTACACTAAAAATTATTTTGAAAAGTGTCTTGGACACCCCTGAAAAAGGTGTAACAAAAGATATTTTTACATTTGAATGCTTATATTTGGTAGTAGAGTTCCTCTACTTGTTAGGTTTATGTATCTTGTTTAATTGGTTTTTAGATTTTCAATAATTAAATAAAATGAGACTATAATATCTTCATTTATTATTAGGAGCAAGGAATGAGGATTTCCTTTAATTTGGCAATTGTGAGTCAGCCACATCTTTCAAAGGCACTGATTTTCTAGTCTAGGGCCCTTGTTGGGGAGGCTGAGATACATAGAGCTAACTTGAAAAATATAGTGAGGTTATTCTTAACTTTTGTAAAAGCATTTATCAGTGTGAAGTTATATAGTTTTAAATTAATGGTTAAAGTCATATTAGGTTGTTATTCAGACCAAAGTTAAAAACTAAACATTTGCTTCAAGTTAGTGTTGCCAAAAGCATTCAAGGTATATTTTCATGAAATCTTAGTGAATTAGCTCCCCATTCTCCACATTTGATAAACTCTCAACTTTCTTCTTCACCTTATTTTATTTACTTCCTTGATTATTTAATCCTGATTATTTTCTGTTGTCTTAGTTTCTGATAAAAATTTTTATATGTTTTTATTCTTAAATTGAATTATTAGAAGATTTTTAAGAAGATTAAATTTCTCATGTGTATTTATTAATCTTTGTCATACTTAGCCATTAGCTAAGAGTCAGGGAAGAATAAGTTGCTTTGTATAAATGATTGTTAAAGATTAGGCACTTTATGTTAAAAAGTTTGAAGTTTTAATATTCAAGGTGATTTTAGTTACTTAGAAGCAGACTTTTGGAAATTAAGATTTGTGGTGTTAGTGTTTTAACTGGTTTGTCAAGTAATGTTAGTACTTAGAGCAAGGAATGCCAAAGTAAATTTGGCCAGCTGGAATATTTTACATGGCCCAGGAACATTTTACAGATGAGCATTTGCAATCGATTTGATGATAGGGAGCACTAACTTTTAATCCCAATTATGAGAAATGTTGTCTCCTCCAAAATTTCCATTCTTCTCATTAGTATTAGTAGACCTATGTTACCAAAAAATTGTACGTATTTTTGTTGCTTTTGAGTTTTATCAGTAAAAATTTCTGCAAATTTGTTTTCTCTCTTGTTACATAAGACCCTAATACCTAATATCCTGGATCTTGCTTCTGGGTCTGCAAAGCCTGAAGTATTTACTTTTTAGACTCTTACAGAAAAAAATTGCCTGCCCTTGACTTAGAGTTTTAATGAATAATACCAGCAAAGTTAGCATTTGCTGCACAAATAGCTATGTTTAATTTACATATTCTAATCCTCAATAATTGTTCAAGGTAGGCGTAATGATCCTGTCTTTGAACAGATTTAGTAGATATAAACTACTTATGCTAAATTTACCATTAATCTTGACTTAGGAACATCATTCTTCCTTTCTTTGTCATAGTCAGATAAAAATGAGGCAGCCTAAAGAAAGTTGCTTTTGAAAGTTTTATTTTAGTTACCTTTTGTCTTCATTAAGTCCTCTAGAAAAGACGCCAGATAAATTAATGCAGAATAATCTGTTCAAGGCGGAGCACTTAAAATATGATTTTATCACTCAGCATTTTGTTGAATGCCCTGTTTGGGTCTTATATTGATTTTCTTTTAGACAAATTTACATTCAAAATGGAAGTTTTCTAGTCCTTTTCCTAAATAGTGTAAAAATTGCACATCCTTTAAATTCCTTTTTTTCCACTGCATTAAATTCTGAGTGTGTTTCTTAGAATTAGGATGTATTTTTAGAATTACCAAGTAGCAATGCCAGTTTGATTTAGGTGAACAGTTACAGTGGTAGCAAAACACAACTGAGAAATGTGGTATCTCCTATCTGCTCATCTACATCTGTTCTATTTTGCTTCTGGTTCTTTGCTAATGGGCATCTCCAAACTTTCATTGTATTCTGCACTGTACCTTGTATGCTCCTTAACATTAATAAGCATTAATTTTTTCAAAATGAGGAAACTAGATCCTTTTCCACTTCGTAGCCTCTTTTGTTCTTAAGATAGGAACTATGTGCTTTAGTGTGTATTTTTTGAATAAAGTTGTTACAACCTATAGTAACAACTTTATCCAAAAATAAAGGACTGTTATGCCCCTGGAGATTTTATTAAGGTCTTGACATTAGGTCTGGCTACTCTTGAGTTTTAGCTGATAAAAGGTGTTGTGGTTAT